CACACGCATACACTACACGCAGCCATCTTGCACACAGTGGAGGCCGTCCTTAAATGGCCATAGCTGTTGATAGGACGTTAAGCAATACTAAACCAAACCAATCGCTCGTCAACACATGAAATCCGCATTTGACAGATTTACAAACACTATTTCAAGTCACCTTCGCGGTAAGTTCGGAATTGCATTCTAACCATGAGCTTGGGGTTTAACGTAGATATAGAGATTAAAAAGAAAAGTTTTGTCCGCTAGTAAATTTTCAAATTCATGCAAAATCAAAATTCGTGTACCCTGAGTCAACCAGTCTTTTAAGATATATACAACATAGAAAAATACTTTTGTAAAAAATCATAATAAGGAAGTCTTTGGTTCTCAAAATATATTCTGTAAAATGATATCGTTCCTTTGATATACATATTTTAATGTCCTACCTATGCTATCAAAATCTTAATATCAACAAACAAGTTAAGAGTGTAATTTCGTATGTAAAAACTATGTAAAAGTACATCATATACATATACATTATATACCACGTGACGTTACTGACAACAACTGCTTACAGGACATTATATACCACGTGATGTTACTGACAACCACTAATTAACCTACATTATATACCACGTGATGTTACTGACCACCACTACTTACTGTACATTATATACCACGTGACGTTACTGACCACCACTTCTAGCTGTACATTCTATACCATGTGATGTTACTGACCACCACTACTTACTGTACATTATATACCACGTGACGATACTGACCACCACTACTTACTGTACATTATACACCACGTGATGTTACTGACCAACACTACTTAATGTACATTATACACCGCGTGACGTTACTGACCACCACTTCTTACTGTACATTATACACCATGTGATGTTACTGACCAGCACTACTTAATGTACATTATACACCGCGTGACGTTACTGACCACCACTACTTACTGTACATTATACACCATGTGATGTTACTGACCAGCACTACTTTATGTACATTATACACCGCGAGACGTTACTGACCACCACTACTAACTGTACATTATATACCACGTGATGTTACTGACCACCACTACTTACTGTACATTATATACCACGTGACGTTACTGACCACCACTACTTACTGTACATTATATACCACGTGATGCTACTGACCAACACTTGTAACTGTACATTATACACCACGTGACGTTACTGACCACCACTACTTACTGTACATTATATACCACGTGATGCTACTGACCAACACTTGTAACTGTACATTATACACCACGTGACGTTACTGACCACCACTACTTACTGTACATTATATACCACGTGATGTCACTGACCAACGCTACTTACTGTACATTATACACCATGTGATGTTACTGACCAGCACTACTTAATGTAATTATACACCGCGTGACGTTACTGACCACCACTACTTACTGTACATTATACACCATGTGATTTTACTGACCAGCACTACTTAATGTACATTATACACCGCGAGACGTTACTGACCACCACTACTAACTGTACATTATATACCATGTGATGTTACTGACCACCACTACTTACTGTACATTATATACCACGTGATGCTACTGACCAACACTTGTAACTGTACATTATACACCACGTGACGGTACTGACCACCACTACTTACTGTACATTATATACCACGTAATGTTACTGACCACCACTACTTACTGTACATTATACACCATGTGATGTTACTGACCACCACTACTTAATGTATTTATACACCACGGGACGTTACTGACCACCACTACTTCCTGTACATTATATACCACGTGATGTCACTGACCAACACTTGTAACTGTACGTTATACACCACGTGACGGTACTGACCCCCACTACTTACTGTACATTATATACCACGTGATGTTACTGACCAACACTTGTAACTGTACATTATACACCACGTGATGCTACTGACCAACACTTGTAACTGTACATTATACACCACGTGATGTTACTGACAGCCACTCATTAACCTACATTATATCCCACGTGATGTTACTGACCTACGCTACTTACTGTACATTATCTACCACGTGATGTTACTGACAACCACTAATTACCCTACATTATATACCACGTGATGACACTGACCAACACTACTTACTGTACATTATATCCCACGTGATGTTACTGACAACCACTCATTAACCTCCATTATATACCACGTGATGTCTCTGACCAACGCTACTTACTGTTCATTATATACCACGTGATGTGACTGACCAACGCTACTTACTGTACATTATATACCACGTGATGTTACTGACCACCACTACTAACTGTATATTATATACCGGAAAGTTGAAATACATGAATAATCAATCCAATATATAAGAACAAAGTTGATCGCAAAATTGGATAATTACAGGGCTGTTACGTTGGTCTCATGATTGGGAAAAGTTTTTATGACGATTTTAAATGCAAGATTATACAAACTATCTGATGAAATTGAATTCATAAGTAATGCACAAGCAGGTTTCAGAAAATGTCACTCAACAATAGATAACATTTTTATTTATCCTCCGGTAGAAAACTCAGTTTCGCTCAGTTTCGCTCAGATAGCATCGTTGTAAGCTAACTAGTAGCTTGTGGTGATGTATGCTATTCCTTTCTTCTAATGTATGCTGTACACACGCGTACTATACTGTGCATTCGTTGACTTTAGAAAAGCCTTCGATTCGGTGTGGCGAATAAGCTTGTGGCAAAAACTACTCAAATGTAACATAACTGGTAAAATATTTAAAGTTTTTGATACGAAATCTTGTGTGAGAAATGGGATTGAAATGTCAGAAATGTTTACCTCCAATGTCGGACTAAAACAAGGGGAAAATTGCTCGACTTTTTTTACTTGCATTATTTTTAAATGATTTAAAAAGACTATTTATTCCAAAAAAAAATTGTCGACTGTTTACTAAAGATTGACGATCTTTGTCAGGATCGTATTGGTATGAACGTAAAACTTTTTGTTATTTTATATGCTGACGATACAGTGTTAATGTCAAGGACAGCAGATGGTCTACAATCAATGCTTAATAAGTTTCAGAGTTATTGTGAGAATTGGAAACTAACGGTAAACACATAGAAAGCAAAAATTGTTATCTTTTCTAAACGAAAGAATACTAACAGAAATCGATTTCTATCATATGATAATGAGCTAGACATTCAAGACTCTTTTCCATACTTAGGTGTTCTATTACTATAATGGAAGGTTTGTAGTGGCAAAAAATGTAAATAGCTGAACACGCCCAAAAAGCGCTGTAATTAGAAATGTTACGTTACCCATGGATTTACAATTCAAATTGTTTAACTCGCTAAGTGCTCCTATTTTGCTATACTCATCAGAAATATGGGGCTATGAGGATGTTAGTATACTTGAAAAAATGCACCTCCAATTCTGTAAACGAATTCTTGGTCTACGTAGAAATACTTGTAATTTTATGGTATATGGAGAAACGGGCAGATACCCTATTGAGGTTGATGTCAAATTAAGAATGATTAAATTTTGGTATACACTTACCTCGAGTGAAAATAAGTTGTCTAGTCGTATGTACAAATTGATGTACTCATTACATGAAAATCGACAAATCGAGTTTAAATGGTTGAATTATGTTAAACACTTTCTGGATAGTGTAGGTCTAAGCTATGTTTGGCTCCAACAAAAAACCTGTCTGCCCGATATTGCTTATTTAAAAGCTGCAATTATACATAAATTACACGATCAGTTTATCCAATCCTGGTTTAATAAAATTGACACCTCATCCAGACGACGACTGTACTCTACATTTAAATATCGCTTTGGTCTAGAAGACTATTTGATACGATTAAACGCAAAAGATAGGAAAATTATCTGCATCTAGAACCTCAAATATTAAGCTTCCAATAGAATCAGGAAGATGGGTGGGAATTCAAAGACAGGACAGAATATGTCCACTCTGTAATACTGATATTGGGGACGAGTTTCATTACTAATATACATTGTACTTGTAATAACGATACTTTAGTCAAAATAAGGGAAAAACATATTCCGGCCTATTTTTATACAAGTCCAAACCAACATAAAATGAAAGGAATGTTCACAACTTTTAATATGAAATTGTTAAAAAGTGTAAGCTTATTTGATAAAAAAAATAACAAAAGTACTATAATGTCTCTATTCTATATTTTTTTTCTTCTGTTTGCTAGTGACATTTTATATACGTTGAACACTGAATTACTTGTATGTAACTAGCCGTATATATGTAAGTATGTGCTATGCTATGATATACAGTGGCGGATCCAGAGATTTTTTGGGGGCTTCAGGAACACTCCCCCCCC